TACAAATAATATAAAATTTTAAAAAATTCTCATTTTCACAGTATTAATTTATTTATTTTTATATTTTTTCATCAAATTTTTTTAAAAAAAAATCATTTTAAAATAGGATATAAATCACATTTAAAATATAACTATTAATTATTTTTTTAGAAACTATTTATTGAAGTTAAAAAAAATTGTATTTATAAAGCAAAATTTAATGTTATTTTGTTAATATTAAATCTAAAAATATATTAATTTTTATTTTTTATAAAAATCAATTTTAATCAAAAGTAATGTAAGATTTGCATCAATAAAAATAAAATAAAAATTAATTTTAAAATTAATCAAGCAAAGTTAATCCCGACGAAAATTTAGAATTAGCTGTTAAGGTTAGTATTAAATTATTTTATTATATTACAATTTTTTTTTTTATAATATGTAGAGTATATTTAAAAAAGTTGAAGACAAAGGTGTTTTTGATATTACAGCCAATGATATCGTTGAAGAAACATTGCTATTTCAAAGATCTTATGAATAGCTTATGATAAAGCTCGTATATTATTTTTAATAAATAAAATAAAAAATAATTTTATTTATTCATTATAAATTATTATATAGACAGATTTAAGAAAAAAAGAAATCCTTAATAATAAATGATTTAAATATAATTAAATTATTAAAAATAAATATTTATAATTTTTGTAAGTATTAAAAAAGAAATCTTAAATAATAATAAAAAAATTATTTTTGAATTTTTAGAAATTTTGCTAATTATCAACATATAATATAAATAATTTAAAGATTTTGTTTAATACATATAGTAAATATTTTTTAAATTAATAATTTATTTATAAAATTAGCTTAATATATTGTCATTTATTTATATTTTATTTGCAAAATTATTTTAGTTAAATATAATAATTTAAATTATTTGAAAATACCATTTTCATTTTTTTAATTGTTATAAATTATGAAAATAAATATTAAATGATAATTTTAATTAAATAATTTTATGTAGTAAATATTTAAATTTATAAATTAATAAAACATCTTATTTAATTTTAAATAAATTTACATTCATTCATTTAATGATAGTACGAAATTTTCTAATTAATTATGAATAGCTTCTAAGTAAATTTATCTATTTTTTTCAATTTATTTAATTCTATTCTCTAATTTTATTTACAATTATAAAGGAGTATATACTTAAAGAACTTCTTTAGAAATATTATTAAAATCAGTAGTGCTTTATATAAATTCATCAATGCAATTATTCAAAATATTTATATTTTATATTTTTGTCTATTTTTATTGACTAAATCTTAGTAATTATTAAGGTTTTGATTTTAATTTTAAGAATTTTATTCTTATTTTTAAATTTATTCTCTAAATTATTAATTCTCTAATATTAATCTATTATTTTCCTTTACTTTTGATTATAATTCTATATTTTCTTAAGATATATCTTCTAGCTTACTGTTTATATCTTTATCAAATTTTTATATATTCTTTATTTTTACTTAAAATGTTAAAATTTTTAAGCTAAAGACTAATTAGTCTTTTCTAAATCTAGAATTTATGCCTGGTACAGTTTATTTTTTTCTTTTAATTATTCTAATTATTGTATTTATTAATTTGATTAATGCTTATTTGTAAATGTTTCAATATTAACTGCTGAATCGTTACAATTTATTGAAGAACAAATTGATTACTTTTATTCTTCAAAACAATTTTTAAAAGATATTTATGAGTACTCTTGCTCTTTTTGATCATATATTTAAGAAAATCCATATGCCTGAAAACTATATTGTTAATGTATTGGGATTTGCATTTCTTCCTTCTGATTTAGTGTTTTTTTTAAATATATTTCAGATATTTTTTCGTTTGATTTGTTTTAATTAAAAGAGTCTTAAACATTATTATTTTCTTATTAAGAAGTACATTCAATGTCATCTAATGTTAAAAATTTATCCATTTTTTATTTTTTATTTTATAATTTTATTTATTTAATATTTTAATTTTTAAGAATAAAAACAAAATTGTTATTCAAATAATAAGGATATTAATAATATTAAAGATAGTTGTTTTTAATTTGTTTAAAAATATTTTTATATAGTATTTATAAATATAAACTAAAAAAAATTATATATATTTTATTTAAATATTATATTAACTTTGTTTTTATTTTATTTTTGTTAATGTCATCTAATAAAAATATTAAATAAATATAAAATCAATAATATGATGTTCTTAATTTTATGAACTCTCCTCGTTTATATTAATCATAATTATAAAATAAAAGTCAAATAGTAATTGGTAAAAAAACAGAAAAATTATAGAAACAGGTTTTTTAGAAAGTAAAAATTGATAACTTATTATTAAAATTATAACCAAATGCATAACAAATGAAAATAACAAATAATAATACATAATCAATTTAATAATCAACAATGAATTTGGGTTTTCTTTTAAATAAGAACAAAACTAAATGTTTAGATTTGAGCAAAAGTTAAATCAAGAAAACATCTGAATTTTAAACTTCAATATTAAAAACAACAAAAAACGTTAAAAATTTATATGATAACATAAAAAATATGAATGAAAATAGTAAAAATTTACAAGAAAATAGCAAAAGTACATAAGAAAATAGCAAGTAATTATTAGAAAACAGCAAAAATTTATTGGAAAATAGTAAAACCTTATTAGAAAGTAGTAAAAAATTAACTGATGGTTTAGTAAACATTAAACCAATTAATCATCATGATATAAATAATCCTTACGAAATTTTAAGGTTTCCCTATGAGGATTATAAACCATAAATTGATTCATTAAAAAATAATAATAGCGATTATTTATAAAGTCCTTATTAATTAAATAAAGATTATAAACCAATGAATTAAAATGAAACAAGTACAAATAAAAAGGGAGAAACATTAGAAAAAGTATAAAAAGCAAATTAAAATAATAAAATAATATTAGATAATTCAAAAGAAATTAATTAAATAAATTAAATAAATTAAAACTAAAAACTTTAATAAATTAACGAAAAAAAGACTACAAATGAAAAACTAGAAGTAGAAAAATAAATAAATAAAATAGAAAAAAAAAAAACTAGCAAATATCAATTGAAGAATTATAAAAAATAAAAAAGCAAACCCTTCTTGAATTCGAATCTAGACTAGACAAAATTAAAATAGAGTATGATAAAATTCAACAAGGAGTTAATGAAAGAAATGAGTTCAACTTATTTTAATATCATGAAAATATGGCTTTTTTAGATAAATTAAAAGAAAGAATCTTTAATCAAGTTGAAGAATAGATTAATTAAGTAAAAAAAGAATTCACTAATATATTTAATAGTAGCTTTAAATTAATTAAGGATAATGAATATAATATTTAATAAATTATAAATTATTTAAACTCTGCTTAAAATGATTTAAAAAGTAATAAAGAATAAATTATTACAGGTATGGATAAATAAAGTTTGGAAGAAATAATAAAAGAATATGATAATCAAATAAATATTTATGATTAAAAAAAAAATAATGAAATTAGAAATTAAACATTGCTAATTGTTTAAATAAAAAATATTAATAATAATTAATTTATAAACTAATAATTGCTAAAAATAGTAGAAATAATAAATGATTTAATTTCTAAAAATTAACATACTGAAAGATTATTTAATAATATAATTAATATTAATTTAAAAAAAAATAAAAGTCATTTTATTTCATTTTAAAATGGTGAAATATTCAAAGATTAATAATAAGATGATTAACAATAAGTTTAAAATGATATTAAGCCATAAAATTTTATAAACATTAGTAATTTTGATTTTTTATCTTCTTCATCTAACAATATTTATAATGAAGGTAATAGTGAATCTAATGATTAGTTTTAAAATAAAATTAGCAAATTTAATGAACTTATTGATAAAATTAAGGTTAACTAATCTTAAACAGAAAGGCTTTGTACTGATATTCTTGCTTAAAATAAAAGCCTTAAATATATATGAAATTAGAATAAATTATTATTATATTATGATATATTTTAATGTAAATAAATTTTTATAATTCAATGTTAATTATAACTAATATATTTATTTTTTTAAATTATAATAAAATTGATTTTAACTTTTTACTAATAATTTAGTATACTAAATTGTATTTACCAATAAAATATCTTCAATTTTTAATTATATATTTAAAAAACATAAAAAAATAAGAATATTTGTCAATTAAATGAACAACTTTTAAATTTCACTATCATAGTCTTAAAAACTAGATTTAAAATAAAATCCTTTATTCGAAAATTCTGATTGGACTAAAGATTGGCTAAATGGTAAAAATAACCATAATTATATTAAATTAAGGATTATTATAATTAGGAGAATAATATAATTTTCTAATAGACAATCATAGTTTTTTAGATGCTGATATATTTAAAACACATTCTAGTCATCCTAAATGGATTTATGAAAAACCTTAAGGTATTATAAATAATATAAAATTAGCATATAAAAATCAAAATAAAGATGGAATAATATATTTTCTACTAAATACAGACATTGAAAAAAATGGACAACATAAGTTGGGATTTCCAAGAATTTAAAAGAACGCTAAAAAATAATGGAAATGGAAAAGACATAATTTTACAACTAAGTTACCAAAAAATGATCCTAAAGTCGTTTATATATGCGGTAGATTAATAAAAAAATAACTATTTAAACAAAATAAATCAGAAGAATTAATATTTTATATAAAAAAAATTATTTTTTGAATTTATATAAAGAAAAATATATTAATTAAATTTATATAATAAAATTAATTATTATAAATATACAAATTTTTAGCAACAACTGAAGGAAACCTTGTAGATTAAAATAATAATTTAGTTTAAAAAAGATATAGAATGCATATTGCTAAAAATATTCGTACTTCTTATCTTTTTTTTAAAAAAAAATTATTTATTTTTATTTTAAGAGTTATATGAAAAGGAGATTAGGTGTGAAGAAAATACTCAAGGTATAGTTTTATGTCAGATGCTAGAAATTGAATATCAAAAAACTAAAAATGGAAAAAAATATATGCCTAAACCTATAAGTAGATTAAATCTTAATTAAAACTAAATTAGAATTAGTGATAAAATAAAGAAACATAAATAATAAAAAAAAATTAATTAAAATTTTTATTATTATAGTCCAATTAAAAAAAAAAAAATTAATAGTAATCAAGATAATTCAGAGTAATAAAAACAGGAATAATTAAATCAAAAAATAGATTAAAGTAATTAATACAGTACATTTAATTAATAGATATAATAGAATGACTAGGAAGCTAATGAACACTTAAAAATTAAATTTAATGATGAAAATTTAAAAAATTATGTAAATATTATCAATAAAAATGGTAATTTATAATTTTATATATTAAATAAAAATTATATTTAATTTATAATAAATAGATAAATAATAATAGAATTTTAATCTTAATTAAAATTTAGATGTGTCTATTAAAAAAAATAGCAAATATATAATTAAACCAGCTAAGTTTATTGAAGATTAAGAAAACTTTAATGAATATTATTTGAAGTTTACTCCTGAATATTCTCGTAATAAAAACTATTTGGAATTTTCTTCATCTAATACAAAAAGATATAGAAAAAATTAGATATGTAATAATAATAGTAGTTATTACTAAAATTATAATCTCCATAATTAAAAATGAATATAAAAAAATATCACAAAAGACTATAAATAAATATATAAATTGCAAAACTATTTTTTTTTTTAATTTGTAAAAATAGATAAAATATTTCATTAATAAAAAGCATTATATTTTTTGTTTATATGAAAAATATATTATACCTTCTCTCTTAAAATAATTTTTTAAATAATTTCAAAAAATAAATATTATTTCTAATTAATAAAAAAAAATGAATTTAGAAAATGAAGAAAATAAAGAATTTAAAATAGAAAAATAAATATCATCTGGAGCATTCGGAAATATATTTAAAGCAATAAGATTAAAAGATTTATAGATATTTGCAATAAAAACATTGTATTTTGGGAATGATAAAAATAAAATTTTACGAGAAATTAATAATTTAGAATTATTAAAAGGCTGTAAAAATGTATTATTATTTTTTAATAAAAACTTGTCTGATTTTCTTTTTATTTAAGGTTGTTTAATTGATTCAATATAACATTTTTAAAAACAAATGTTAGATTATACTTGAGTATGTTCCATATGATTTAAAATAATATTTAGAAAATTCATATTTTCCATTAAGCCATTCAAAAGTGTTTTTTTTACTAACTTTTACTTTTATATAAAAAATAAAAAGATTAAAAAAATAGCATATTAAATTTTATTAGGTTTGGATTAAATTCATAAAAAAAATATAATACATAGAGATATTAAACCTTCTAATATATTAATAACTGATAATTTCGAGATAAAAATAGGTGATTTGGGATCTTCTATAATTAAAAAAGAAGGATAATATTCGATAGAAGGATTTACTAGATGGTATAAATCTCCAGAATAATTATTTGGATATAGATAATATGATTATTAAACTGATATCTGGAGTTTTGGTTGCATTTTTGCATAGCTTTTGTTAGGTTATGCTTTGTTTAATGGAAATAATGAAATCGAATAAATATGTAAAATATCAGATTTACTAGGAGATCCCTGTGAAAAAAACTGGCCAAGTATTATTTAAATGCCTGATTTTGGTAAAGTTATTTTTAAACCGAAAGAAAGATAAAATTTTGAAGATATATTTTGCTTTTCTAATGCGTCTGAAATTCGATTTTTAAAATTGATTCTTAAATATGATAATAGACCTACTGCATTAGAAGTATTTTTTAAAAAAATTAAAATAAAAAAATATATATTTGTAATAGTTAATTTAAAGTCAATATTTTTAAGAAGAACCAAAGTTAAAATTAAAATAGAAGAATATTTAACTTAAAGATAGATAAGAAGATAATCCTTATTTTAACTATTGTAAATTATTAAAAGAAGGACAAAAAAATTGATAATTTTTATACTATTTGCTTTAATAATAAAATAATTAGTTTTATTTTTAATTTGTCAAAAATTTATATTTTTTAAATAAAATTTAAAGTATAATGAAAGACATTTATATTAAAACTATAATTATGAAATATATAAACTTTAATAATTTAAATATATTATTTATTTTATGATTATTTTTAAATAAATCTATATTTATTGACATAAATATAAGACAAATATTTTTTAATAATATAGTTATATTATTTTTTTATTTTTCATAGGATTTCTTCTTATAAAATCAAAGTAATATATTACTATTTATTTTTATATTTAATCTATAAAACAATATAATATATATTTTTTTAAAAAAAAATTATTATGTAAAAAACTATATTTTAAAGTCAAAATATTGATATTATATACAAAAAATACATATTTTAACTTTTTTAAAATTTAATTTTTCGTATTTATATTTAATTATATAAATAACAAAAATTTATTATAAAATAAAATATCTCAGACATGAGTATAACTTGGATCTTTCCAAGGATTTAATTTTTTATCACAATTATCAATACATAAACAACACCTTTCTTTAACGGGATACCAAAAAAATGCTAAACATGATTTAATTGCATTACATGTTGCAACTGTAATTTTGTATAAAAACTAAGTAAAATTAAAAATTAACTTATTTATCAAATTTATATATAAAAGTTACTTTGCATGTTGCTTCTATGCATGCAGCAAATTTATCGCAACAACCTTTTTCTTCTTCTTCTTTTTTATTTGGATCTTTTTTTTCAGAATCATCACCTTTTCCTCCTTTATTTAATGGTTTTTTTTCAGGATCTTCCATAAAAATTAGGATTTTTAATTTTTTTTTTTATATATTTTTTTTTGATTATTAAAAAAAAAATTATCAATTTATTATTAATAAAAAATATAGATTTTTATCTATTTTAATATATATTTATAATATTCATTAATCAGTTTCAGTTTCAACACATCTAATGTTTTCCTTTTCAAGTAGTAAACTTATGGGTTCATATATAGATTTTTTATTTGGAATAATAACACCCTTTTCTATAATAACTCCATCTAAAATTAACTTTTATTTTTAAAAAATTAATAAAAATTATCTTAAAAAAATAAAAAAATACTTAAGCAGCAACACCTGTAGGTGTTCCAACAGTTAAAGCCATAGCAGTTTTACCATTTTTTTCTCCAAGCATAATAAGAGTACTTTTTCTAGTAATAATTTTATCAGAATCTTTATATTAAATTTTAAAAATATGCTACATTACTACTAAATCAGTTTCTGAAGGTCCTAATGAAATCTTTTTTTCTAAAAGTGAACATAAATTTTCAAGAATAGTTTTTTCATTAGAAAGTTAATGATTTTAATTGAAAAACTCAAAATATTTTATTGCATTTATTGTTAATTTCGCTATATTTAATTTTTCTTAAATATTTAAATTCAAGTAATTTTTGTTTGAAAGGACTATATTTATCATTTTTTATAATAATAGCTATGTTTTTACATCATTATTCTAATCTAAAATAAACTACTTTACTTCTTAGATTGTTTAATCATTTTAAGGCTTTTTTTCTTCGGTTATTCTTTCAAAATAAGATAACCAAGATTCATTTTGAGTAGCAATTTCTTTAGAAAATAATCCTAACTCTTTAAAACTATTAATAATAGTGGAAAACCCAATATATCTTAGTGTTCCTCTAAGTACTTTTTTACAATCTTTTAAATTGTAAATATTCTAGTAGTTTAAACTATCTCTATTAGGATAGCCTTCTAATCTTAAAGCTATACAAATATCTTTTGGTTCTGAATTATATAAGAGATCTTAACCTTGAATAATTTTGATCTTTTAATGTTAATTTTAAAAATATAAAATATAAAATATTATTTACTTCTCCATTATCTAAATATTTAGCATCATTTGCTAAAGCTGATAAAGCACCAATTGGAGACCAACTGAATTTGTATCCTAAAGGATTATTACAATGTTCTGGTGAAGGAAGACCCCCACACCAGGATTCATATTCTATTATTCTTTTTTTATTAATTTAAAAAAAATTATAAAAACTATTGGCTTTTACTTTCCTCCTTTTTCATGAACTTCATCTATTGTTTTCATAGTTGCTAAATGGTCAATTCCAGGGTCTAAACCAATTTCATTTAAAAACGTTAAATTCGAATCTCTTACTTCTTTATCCATAGCAGCCATTTCAGGAGATATGTAACTTGCTGTCACTAAGTTTTTCTTTAATTTTAAACAAACCTTCGCAATTAATGGATGGAAGACTGCTGGCACGTAACTTATTACAATATCTACATTTTAAATTAAAGATTATAAGCTTTACTATTTATTTAAATAAAATGCAAATTATTGAAATATTAATAAAATTAATACATCGTTTTTAACATCAACATATGAACTATTACATCTTTATTTACGAATAGCTATAGCTTAAGCATCCTTTTCAATATTTGAAGCTATCATAATATAGTTCTTTTTATTTTTGATAAGTATTTTTTTATTAATTTTTTACTTCAGGACGCTACAAAAGATAATCTACTACTGTTTCAGACATTAATCCGGAACCTAAAAGCAATATATTTTTCATTTTTTATTAATATTTTCTTTTTAATAATTAATATAATATAATATAATATATATGCTAATATGAATTATAAAATAAAATGTGTTATTATTAATTATATAGATTAAAATAATTAATATATATATATTACGTAATTTCTTAAAAAAATATTATAAAACTATTTTTATATTTATAATAATTAAATCTTATATATAAAAATATATAAAATTATATTTAAAAATTAATAACAATATTGAAATTTATATTAAAATAAAATATATTTATAACTTTAAATATCTCAAATCATTATAAAGAAATTAAAAAAAGATATTCTATAAAATCTTATTAATTTTCAAACTATACTTATATATTTTAGTAATAAAATGAAATATAGTTTTTTAAAAATAAATAAAATTTAAATATGATTTAATATATTTAAATTATGAACTAATTAAAGCAACATTGTCTTTGAAAATATAACAATAAGAGTTATAAAAGATTTCATATTATTCCAAGTATAGTACAACTAAATAAATGAAAATCTTATACATTATAGTCACACTAAATTTTAACAAATAAAAATAAAATAATTTCAAACATAAGACCAAAAACAAATCTGTAAAAAAATTAAATCATACGATTTTTGTTTTGTTTTTCTTCTATTCCTTAAATTCAATCGTTTAATTTTTTACTATTAAATAGTTTAATCAGTTGAATTTTTATTAAAGAACATTGTCAAAAGAAAATATTTTTCATTAGAATAATCGTATTATTTAAATTTTAAATACCTATCTAATTATCTAGTTTTCTTCTATTTCTATTCAAAAATAATAAAAGAAACTTTTTTATAAAAAATTATTAAATAATTTTTTATATTTTTTATTTTAAATATATTTGATTTATAAATATTTTGTATAATATAATAAAAATAAAAATTAATTATTTAAATTTTCTAAATATATATTTTAATTATAAGCTAGTTTATAATAAATAAAAATTAAGCAAAAAATAACAAAAAATATATTTATAATTATAAACTCATAGAAAATTATTTTAGTTATAAATTTTTTCAAGCATATATTTAATAAATATCAGCTTTCTTTTATATTTGATAAAAAAATAAATATATTTAGTTAAAATATTAAAAAAAAACTGAATTCATGATTTATTTAAATATAGTTTTAATAATATATAAAATCATTTTAAAAATTACAAATATTAATAATTTAATTAAAATTTGTTTAACAAAATTTATTATTATAAATTGAAACTAATAAATAATAATTTTAATTTAATGAATTAATTAATTATATTAAAATTATAATCAAAGATTAAACTATGAAAAAAAATAGCATGTATTAAATGTTATAAAAATATTATAATCTATAAAATTAAAATGACTTTTATAAAAAAGTAAAAAAAAATAAAAAAAGCGAAAATGATATTTAATAAAAAAACTTTATTTTACAAATTCAGAAATTTTCTTACAATAAAAAAAAAATTATAATAATTATTCGAATATTATAATAGATATATTTTTAAAATTAACTTTATTTAAAATATTAAAATTTGTGTTTTTTTTTTTAAATTAAAAAATAAAATAAATTATTTATTTATAGAACTATAAAGATTAACATATTACAATATATGTATGGATGAGATAATTTATTAACATATATATATGTATATATATATATATATATATATTTATATATATATATTTATATATATATATAAAAAATATATATTTATTTATTCATTTTTTTATTTTTTATTTTTTATTTATTTTAATATTAATATATTTATTTATTATTGTTTTAAAAAATTTAATTAAGTAATTTTTGAAGAAATTAAAAAATTACTATGATATATATATATATATGCATATATATTTTAGAGGATAAACAGAAATAAAACATATAAATTATTTTTTTTCCCAAAATTATAATTTTTAATTAATAATACAAATAAAAAACTTCATCATATTTTAATTATATTAAATAAACTTTAAAATTACATATATATTAATCGTTATATATCAAAGTAAACATAAAATATAAAGTTTAGTTTATAATTTTTTTTCAATTAAAATTAATTCTGCTTTAATAAACTAAATCTATTTTTACTAGAATAAGTATTTTTTTAAAATGTATTTATTGTGTTTTAGAAAAAATGGTGTTTGTTTAAAAAAAAAGTCTGCTTTTAGTAATATGAAGTCGTCTAAAAAAAAAGGAATTTACTTTTTGAAAACGACATTCTGCTTTTTAATAGATTGCTTTTACTTTATAATTTTATGCATGTTTAATTTTACTTTTTAACTAACCTATTTATTTATGTTTAGGAAAAATTAAATTTTCCTTTAATATTTAAAATTTATTTAATTAATATTAAATTATTTTAAAATTTTATATAATTAATTACAAAAGTTAGTTATAATCTATTAACTTATGTATATTCTAACAAAATATAAAAATCGTTTTTTTATTATTATTATAGTAAAGAAGGTGAGATCTTGTCTGAATATATTTTTTTAAAAATCAACCTTTTTGTAAAGTATAATGTTTTTTAAAGGTAAATAAAGAATAAATAATTATCAACAGATTAAAAAAAATGATACTTATGTTTAGAAAGGGTATAATTTTTCAGGGACTTATACTGTGTTACTCTTAGATATTTTAAAGGATATAATCGTTAATTTCCTTAATAAACTTAATTAAAAAATCTTAAATTTATTAATAAAGCCATTTATTTTTTTATTTTACTTTATATCTTTAATTATAAATTATACCAAATTTATTATCTTTTTAAGCTTCTTCATTAAAAATTTATTTTTTGTGAACTCTTATCCTTTAATAGATGCTTAAATATATATATTTTTATAATTATATTTTTTTTATATTCTTAACAGTTTTCAATATTTAGAATTATATAGTCTTTATCAAATTAGGTTATTTTGAGAATTGAAATAATTATAATTTAATGATTGTTTAATAAAAACATAAACTTTTCAATTTAAAAAGGCCATTAAAATTCAAAATATCTTAATACGAATTTCTGATTGATTTTTGATTTTTCCTATATTTTTGTAATAATTTAGATTATTATTTATTATATATTATTAAGTAGATGACTCTTAATAATTACTTTACTAATAAAAGTTAATAAAATTTAATACTTTCAATAGGCTAATTATTTTTTAAGTGTTAAAATACAGATGTTTTTAAATCTAAACTAAGAAATTTTTTGGAGACATTTATTAAATTCTCTAGGATTTCCAAAAAATATTTATCCATAATTCCTCTATTTATTATTCTTATTTTGAGTAGGATTTATTTTTATATCTCTTTATTTCTAATAAAAATATTCAGTATTTTTATTATTTTCATATTTCTAAATCTTAATTAATTATTTACATATGTTTTCTATGTTTATTATTTATATTCTGTATTTTTATTTATATTTATAGTGTTAATAAAAAATATTAAATTTGTAAATCTCTAGAATACTAAGCCTATCTTATTTTAATAACCTAAAGTTTTTTATATAAAAAGCTTTATTTAATTAGATATATAAGGTTTTCCTGAAAATTAAATAGCTAATTATCTATTTAGAAGACTAAATTTATTAAATTTTTAGCTTGTTAAGGAGTTTTTCCATAAAGCATTTCATATAATATTAATGCAATACACCAAAGATCAGTTTTAGATGTATATTGGTATTTATTTAGAATTTTTAATTTTTATAAATTATTTTTATATTATTTGAATACTTTATTTTTCTGGTATTTCTTGTCTTTTTTTGACATCTGCCTTAAATCATCTTAATTATAATATTGAGATAATAAATATATATTTTGTTTCAGGTTTAAAATACATCAAATAGATATACAAGGTTTTCATGTTTTAGATTTTTAATTATATTTTTTTCAGATTATAACATCTTTATTACATAGTCTGTTTTTAATGAATAAAGATGCATCACTTTTATTGCTTCTATTTTATCTGTTTAAAAATTCGTACTTATTTATACATTACCCGAAGAAAAATCTTATACAAATACTTAAAGAAAATATTTAATTTTTAATATATGAAATCTGATTAATATTTTATGAATGTATCTATATTTATTTTTTTATTAATTTTTAATTTCTTTTTATGAATTTTATTTTTTTAATTATTAAATTATTCTTTATAAAATAATTAAAAAAATATAAGTTAAAAATTAATATTTATTAGTTTTAAATATTTTCTTTGTTTTATCTGAATACATTTTAGATTTATTTACTATATAAAGAAAATAAAATATTTTTTTAAAAAATAAATATTTTTATATATATATATTTAAATTATTATTATAATAATAATGTTTATATAAACTTTTTAAAAATTTTAATATATTTTAAACTTTAAAATTTTTAAAAATTTTAAATAAATAAAATATATAATAAACAGAAATATTTATGACTATTATTTAAATTTAATTTTAAATAATTAATCTTTTAATTCAATATTATTTTAAAACAATTAATTTATAAATTTTAAATTTTAAAAATAAAAAAATGAATTAAATATAATATGACGATGACGATAAAAGTAGTCTTGAAAAAATGCAAGATTCACTCAAATTTGTCATTTTTGAAATTTTATATCATTTAATAAATTAAGGAGATTCATTTTCATTTATAATATATGTAATATTTATATTTATAGAGACATTTTAAATATTTTTTTGGTATTTTACAACTGATGTAATAAAATAAAATAACTAAAATTAAAATTAATATAAAATTTAGATAAAAGATCTTTGGATTATAGTTAATTTAGCAAATAGTCTTGAAAAATTTTTTGGATATTTTTTAATAGTCCCATAGTGTACTTCTTTTGATTAATTAGTAGTTGCAATTTATGCTATTATTGGTATTTTCAGTTTAATGCTATTCTTAATATTATATGTTTCTTGTAAAATTAAAAATGGAATTACCGGTTTATCTGGAGCCATATCTATCATAAAAGTATTTTCTTAAAGATAATTTTTAAATATATTTTATAAAAATTAGATTTTCTGCTAAATAATTTTACCTATTTTATATCTACCGTTTTTCGATTTATTTTTAAGTATAATGAGGTGTAAACCAAATGATTAAGGATAATATATGCATAAAATATTTGTGGAAGTATAATGTTATTAAGGTAATAATCTGTTACATTCATTTTTCGCAGGCGTTGCTGCCTTATTACTGTTTTTTGTTACATATTTAGCAACTATCACTAATTTTGAATCTAGATATATATCAAACAGAATAATAATAAAGTAAAATAAAAAATAAATAACTATATTTTTATATTTTAAAAGATTATCAGGAAGAGATGATATAAAGATGATGATTTTTAAGACATTTTTAGTATTAGGGTTTACTTATTTAGATACAAGTGATTTACTCATTTTAATACTAATTTCAATAACTGCAAATTCAATGAATATATTTTTAGCTTTTAATAAATCCTCAAATATTTTAAATTATATGTACAATAAAGTAACTAATTCTTAAGCTGCAGTAATTTTTTGGACTACATTAATTACTATTTTTGGTTAAATTATGGTTTTTACTGATTTCAAAGGTGTGGCTTATATTTGGTTTATAGGAATTCCTTTTCTCATTTCAATTGTTTTTTTGAGAAGAGAATATAGATATGATCTTATGATGGTCGATTCAAATAAATTTGATTCTTTAAATTAAGCTATTTCTTAGATTTTATATTTGACCAGATGCCTTAATTACTATAGTATTTTTTATATTATATTTAATTAATATTTTTGTTAATTAAAAAAGATTCGGATAGAAATATTGCTGCTATATTAGATGGATTTGTAGACTATCATAGAACTATATGTAATAGAGAAGATTGTCCATGCTAATAAAAAAACATGAACTAAAAAAAAATAAAAAAATTTATTAAAAGTATATTATTATATCAAAAAAAATATATACATATATTTAGAAATCATTTGTATTAAATAAATTTAAAAGATGCTAAGGCAGGATAATTTGATGATGAAATAAAAGATAAATTTGTAGTTTTAGTTTATTTAATTGAACGTATCTTTGTTTTAGCATTAACAAAATTTCCAGGTTGTACATAATTACGTGTAAATCATGCACTTTTTTTATTAGATAAAATGAAGAGTGCCTAATAAGCTTTATAAGAACTTGAACTTGCATAAGAAGAAAGACCTTATTTAGATGAATAATTTTAAATTTTTAGATATAAGAAATTAATCGAAGATAATATGATGGAAGCAAGAAAAAATACAGTTTCAAATAAAAATAATAATGAAAATGTAAATGAAATAACATCTGATAGCGGAAATAAAGAACTTATTAATAATATTGAATAGTCAACTGCCCTTCATATGGATTTTTGGTCTTAATTATCTGAAGATACGCCTGATTTATGTAGGGTTTATGAAATTGGAACGAAACTTAATTACTATAATTAACTTGTTAAAGATAGTTGGAAAAAATAAAATAGAATAAATTCTGATATTTCACCTAATTTATTAAGAACATATGCTAGATATCTTCTTGATGTTTTAAATGATAAAGAATAAGCTTTTGAAGTCATTTAGAAGTATTATAATCCTTAGATGTATTATTTAAATTTTTTATTTAAAGATTAAAAACATCATAAGGAGGAAATATTGATAGAAGTAAAACTACGAATAATATTAATGATTTTTAAAATGAATCAACTGGATTAATATCTATTTCTGCAGAAGATGTATTATTTTTATATCTAGGTTTTCTATTTATATTTAAATTTCTTAAAAGGTATCATTTGCAAGGATATCAGCATTAAATTAAACTGCTGCCATGTATTTTGGGTATTCAAAATCTGAACTCATAAGTATTTATTTTTTTATATTTAAGGTTTTTTAACTTTATTATAAAATAATTAAGATCGAAAAATCAATCATATAATGCCTTAATAATGGGCTGAATAACATGATTCTTTTATAGAAGATTATTTACATCATTTAGAATCTAAAGTATTAAATAAGGAAAGGCTTTTGTTTGGAAAATAAAAAAATGGTTATATTTTTCCTAGTTATATGTACATAAGAGTAAATTAATTAGATATTATTACAATATTTTTTTAAATTAAAAAAAAAATGAATAGTATGTTCCAAGCTATTTGCACGGAACCTAATTTATAGCAACTGTAAGAATAGAAAAATATTTTAAATTAGTAGCTTATATGACTACAAATAAATCTGATTTAGAAATTACAAATATAACACCAAGTTTAAAAAATAATTTATTTATTCACAAATATTAAAATAAATAGATTGTATAAGCCTTTTTGAATTAAGTTTAGGGATACTAAATAAAAAAAAACCTTCTATAATTGATTTAATTCCAGAATTTAATGAATTATTACCTCTATTAAAATAAAAAGGAGGACATAATATATAATTAACTGCAACTCTAAACCAAGCATAAAACTTTAATATTTAAGTAAAGGAAATATCATTTAGAGGAAACAAAGTTATATTAGGATACGAAATTCGTTTTGAGAAAATAATAAAGGATACTCCAAATATGTTTGAAACAAATGAAGAAAATTAACAAAATACTAATTAGTTAAGTTCAGCAAGAGCTAAAAAAAATAATATTAGTTCCATTTAATATAAACTTATTTTTAGATACGATTATGAAAACCATTAATTTAATGGAGAAAATACTGCTAATATTTAGATGTGCAAAGTCGATAATTCTCTTTTATATCAAAATAATACATAAATAGGTTTTTTTTATTTAGATATTTTATTTACTTTTCTTATTTAGATTCAAAAAATATTGATATCGCTATGAATTTCTCTACACACCAAATAGATCAATCGAATAGAGAAAAAGATTTTATTGAAGAATAAAATGCTTAAAAATTATAAGTTGATTATGGAAAAGGTATCCGTGCAGTAAGATTAATAAGAAATTAATTAGTTGATGTTGAAGATATGAAAAGAGATGAGTAAGATGGAGAGGAAGAAGAAGAAGAATAAGGATAATAGTTTGAATAATGTTTATTTTTATTATTATTTTATATATTAAAAAAATAAAATAAGAAAAAAATGAATCTGGAGGTAAATAATAAGTTAGCTAACTGGAATATAATGAAAGCGAATCTGCAGAAACAAATGTGTTTAAGAATAAGTAGAAATTAGTTTAAATTCTAAATGAAAATAAATCAAATTCTAATGGTAGTTTAGAAATTTTTAAATGGTCAGGAGTAGTAATATTATTAATTTTAGGAATTATTGCAATTATTAATTATATTTCAACCTAAAATTAATTTAATTTAATGTATTCATGTTATGATTTGGTTGCTAAAGTAAAAAAATTATATTATAAATTTTAAAAATACACAAAATAAAACATAAGAGTAATATCAGATAATCATTAGTATAAAGAATTCTTTTTAAATTATATAATTACAGATTAGTAAATTATGGTTTATATCCTGTTTTTGGTGATACTTTATCTATTGATTAAAGTGATTTAGATAACTCAATATAAGAATTATAATAAATTTAGCAAGAACTTTTTTAATCTTCAAACTCAATGCAGGCAGACTAAATAAGCTTATATTCTGAACAAACAGTAATTATAAAATCAAGTTAGTAGGGAGAAGTAAAGGAATTAAAAGTCGACATTAATTAAGCTACTCTATAGTTTATATCTGCAAGTTTAAACCTTAGAAGTGGCTAAATAGATAGTTATGTCAATAATAATTAAATGTATTTTATTGAATATAACGCTTTAAATGAATATTATTTAGCTTTAAAATAATCGGCTAATTATTATGTAGAAGATTTAGTTGATTACATACAATCAAAAAGTGAAACTTATATTACTTATTTAATTATTTCTATTATTTTTTGTGTACTTAGTTTCTGTTTTATCACTCCTATTTTTTCTTTTGTGAGTAAAAATTAAGAAACTGTTCTTAAATTATTCTTAGAAATTCCTGTTGCTTAAATAAAGTAATTTTATTCTAAGTGTGAGTAATTTTAAAATGGAATGTAATTAGGAGAAGATGATAATGTTAGTGAATTAGGTTATTTTATTTATAATTATTATTTAAAATCATTTTATCAAAAAAGATGAAATTATTTAAGAAGAAGAGGATAGTGTAGAAGGTATTAGTAGAAAAAGAAAAAAAAGAAAATTCAAATGGGAAAGTATTGATAAAAGAAATTTCATTATAAAATTTTTATTAAGTCTTATTTTATTAGAAGGTTATTTTATTGCTACATATTTTGTTAGTACTTCTTTATAAAATTCACTAGCATCTATTGTTAGTGAGATGAACTCTACATGCTAATCTGAATCTTATTATACGTTTGCTAATAATGCTTTGAGAAAAACATTTCTTGATTAAGAATTTAGTATAACTGCTTAAAAGCCTGAATTCACTATTAATAACATAATGATGAATTTAAATGAAATTAATACTAATATGCATACTGTTAAATTTTATTTTATATTATATAAAAAAATAAAAAAAAAATATATTAGGAACATGCTAAGAATATAGTATATCATACAAGTACATATAATAGCTATTTTGAATCTGTTAATGATTTAAATGCTTGTATTATTATTCAAGAATTATTGGTAAAAAAGCAAGCAGATTGTGAAGCTTTTGCTAATTCTATTATAAAAGAAGTTATCACTTTTTTATATTTTTTAGCAATATTAATTAAAAAAAAATTACAATTAATTTTAATATATTTAAAAGGGTCTAGGATTAGCTATTATTAGACATTTTGAAAATATTAGATACGTTATAACTCTTTATAATAATTTCTTGAAAGATCCAAATGCAGAGTTTCCAGCAGAAGAAAACATTGTTTTAGCCTAAGTTATAAACGATATAACAAAAAATAAGATTGCAAACATATTAAAATTAAAAATATATACAGAAATAAGTAAATAAAATTATATTAATTAAAACATATATTTAAATTTATTATTTTTATGCATTTAAAGATGAAATGTAAGATGATTATGCAAGAAATTTACTAAAGGCTTTAGTGACTAAATTTAAACAAAATATATAAGGACAAATAAGTTCTAATTAAACAACTAGAGTTACTCTTTTTATTTGTTTCATGGTTTTATTGGTTTTCATATATATTTGCTTTTGGATTCCAATAATAACTAAAATATCTAGAGAAGTAAAAAAATTATTATTTTTTATATTTCTTATTAATGTTTTAAGACTGCTAGGACTACAACAATGCTTAGTATCATACCATTAAAAACTATAGTATAAATAAAGACAATTAAAGATTATATAAATAAACTACTTAAAATAGAGTGAATTTTATTATTTAATTCAAATATAAAGAATATATAATTGTTAGTTTAAATATTAAATTTGTGTGAAAATAATATAAAAAAATTATTTTTAAATATCTTATAAATTTATATATTTTAGATAAAATCTAAATTAAAATTAAAACAATATTTTTTTTAAAGGACAATTTTATTATAATCCTTCAGTTATTTTTATTAAAATAAAACTCTAAAATAATAATATTTAAATGCTATTTTTAGTGATATATGTTTCTTTAAAATCAAATATAAATAGTTAATATTGCATTACTAATGCTATAAATATTATTGCTAAAATATTTTAGATTCTATAATTTAAAAATAAAAAAAAGAATTAATATATTTTTTAAAATTTTTATTGACATATTATTATAAAATTAAAGAAAATGTTTATATAACTTTATAAATAATAAATATTTTTTATTTATATGTATTTTATAATTTTTAATTTTCTTCAATCAAATATATTCCAAACAAATATATTACCGTCACATCCTCCAGAAATAATTTATTTATCATCAAAAGAGAAACAAACTGTATTGATAGTTCCAGAATGGCCTTTACCTTCTCCAACAAGTTTTCCAGTAGAAAATTCCCATATTTTAACAACTTACTATGACCCTCCAGTAGCGAAATATTTTCCGTTATTAGATAAGTGTAAGCACATACATTCATCATCTGCTTTATTATCTTTAGAAGTATGAATAATTTTAGTAGGATTAGACTAATTAAGATTCCAGTAAGTTATTTATCTATCTTAACCAGTAGTAATAGCAATTTAATGGTCTTAAGTTGTATCGAAAGAATTTATACCTCCCATTCTCTGTATATGTGCATTAATACGTTTTTCGTTTTTTAAATCCCAACAAAGTACTAATAAAAAAATTAAAAAAGAATAATAAATAAATTTACAAGCTCTATCTTTAGAAGAAGAAAGAACATGAGCATCTTAATCTCCAATAAGTTTGACTTTAGAAACTTTATGAGTATGTTCTTTTAAATGAGAAATCATTTCCCTTGATCTCATTTCCCATACTCTAACTTCTCCTTCAAGTCCTCCAGAACAGAAAAACTTCAAATTTTTGCCTAAACATATACTTTATACACCTCCTTTATGTGCATTATCTATTTACCATATTAAATTTCCGTTTTCACTATTAAACATTCTAATTTTACCATCTTACCATCCACTTAATACTATTTCATCATTATGTGTAAGGCATAAAGGATGCCCTGCATTAGAAGCAAAACATCTAGAAACAACAAGATAATCTTATTCAATATTCCATAATCTAATTGAACCATCTTCACTACAAGAAGCAAACTTATCAGAAATTCCAGGCGGATAAGCTAAAAATAAAACAGAGTCAGTATGATTTTCACAATGAAGGACCTTTTTTTTTCATGTTTATTAAAAAAAATTTACTAAGATATTTTTACTTTTTGTAAATTATCATTTCTAACTCTATAAATAAATCCTTTATCAGTTGCACACATTGTTTCTTATCCGGAAACCATGCAAGAAATGGAATTGACACTTCCAAAAAGTTAAGTAGAAGCTACAGAATCGATTTAATTGTCATTAGTTTTATATAAATTTACTTGTCCATTTCCACATCCAACTATAATATGGTTTATGTTTATGGCTTGGATAGATTAAACTCCAAGTGCAGCAACTGTAATAACACAAATAAGAAGTTTATTTTTTATTTAAAAACATAAAAAATCTCCTGAAGTGGTTCCTGCAAATAAATAATCTTCTCTATTTTTAGAATATTCAAGGCATTTGTATTCTCTTATTACTGATCCTGTATTAATAAATTCATGTTCTATTTATCCTGTTTTTGAATCCAGTTTCCATAAACATATTTGCTTATTTCCTGCTGTTGCGAATTAATATTTCGCTGTATCTCGAAGTTTAATGTCTTTTGCATATCCTCCCCATCTCATTGTAGTTATTTTTTCAGGAAATATAATACAACTGGCAACTATGTAACTTTTTTTTTTTTAAAAAAAAAATTAATTATTAAATTTACCCATTTGATGTATCCCATACAAATAGTTTTTTATCTTATGCATTTCCACAACTAAATAATAATTAATCATTATGTGAAAATTATACTACAACGACTTCATAATCATGTTCAGAAAGACGAAATTTCGGTTTTTTCTTTTCAAAGTCCCATATTATTACATCTGAATTATCACCTATTTAACCTGAAGCTACTAAAAGACCATTATTTGATAATGCTAAGCAGGATATTTAATTATCATGTCCTCGAAGAAAATGTTATTTGTGAGGATTCATTAAATTTGTTACTACAATACAAGCTCCTGATATATATAAAAAATCTTCGCCATTTGAATGAACATGTACTGATTTTGGAATTTTGCCGCTAAATCCTATTGTATGTTCTAATTCGATAATTGAAGGCTCTTAGTTCATTTTTTTATTTATTTTTCTAGATATTTTTTTATTTATTTTAAATTTAAAATGTATATATTTTTTTTTTAAAAATGTATTAATATAAAAAAAAATATAGTTTTATAGTATAATTTAAAGAAAATTATAAATATAAAAATAATTATTCACATAATTATAATTACAAATTTTTATTTATATAACATTTATATCAATTAGTTCATTCAATAAAATCTTCGCTTTCTAAATCGTATTTAATTATTTTTGGATTAATTTTTAACATCTTTACAACATCATTTAATTTCTACTTATTAATATTAATTAAAAAATAAATCACATTATATTTTTATTATATAAATTTATTAAAAACTTCGGCGAAAAAGTAAATATATTTATGAATATTTTAAAAATGCAAAAATTTTATTGGTTTTTTTATTTTTAAAACTATTTAGATAACAAATTATACAATATTTTAATTATTATATTTATTTGTAAAAAGAATATATAAAAAAATTACTAAATCATTATCCTATTCCTTTAATTTTAAATGAAGTTAGATAATAGCAGATTAAGCTCCATTTAACCATTTTTTAATTTAAATTTCAAAATCATTTATTTCTTTGATTTATTTTTCTGTTACATCAATTTAATTATTTTTATTTTATTATTCTTTTTCCAATATTATAATTTCATTTTTTAAACTTTCAATTTCTTCTTATGATACAATGATATCTTTAGTATTATTTTTTAAAAATGTTGATTATCTTTAATTATCTTAAACTTTAAATTATTTATGAAGTTAATTTGATTAGCCGCCTTTAAATTAACATTTTTTCCTTTCAAATTAATTTGATTAATTTGTAGCTATTAAAATAGGCTCTACATATTAAGAAAATATTAAAATAGGATTTTGTGGAGATATTTCAAGAGTTTTTGTAAACAATTTATTACTTTCGTTTTTTAGTTCATCTGAATTCATTTGATGTAAAAATATGTATGATATCTATTAAAATTAATTGATAAAATTAAACAAAATTGTCTAGCTAATAATATTATATAATTACTATAAAAAAAAATATTTAATTTAAATAAATAATTAATGTATTTAAAGATTAAAAAAGAATATTAAATTATTATGTTTTGTTAATCAAAATAAATCATAATAATATTATTGTATTGAAATTTAATTTTTATAAATTTAAAATATAATTTGTTTTAATAAAAAAAATTAAGTTAAAAATAATTTTGATTTTATTTGAAAATAAATAATAAATTATAAATATTTGATATATTTTTTAAAATAAATATATATATATTTAATATTTAATAAATATATAAATTTATATTTTCTATTAATAGAAATATATATATTAATTAAACTAAATATATCTTTATTAGATTTATTTATTGTTATTTTTTTTATATTAAATTATATGTATTTTTATATATATTTAAATTATTTTTTTGTTCAATCTAATGATACACATTTCTGAATTTTTAAATTTATTTATTAAAAAAAGATATTTGTCTTAATTCGTAAAAATGCGGAAATTCATTGAGTAAGATTTATAGTTACAAATTTTTTTATATTAAAAACATATAGTTAAATTATTATATAATTCATATTAAAAGTTAGTAAAATAATTATTAAATGTAGGTAATTTTAATTCAAAATCAAAAATGAATATTCAAACATTTAAAAATAAACACAAACTTTTACTTTTTAACATTATTTTTTATATTTTTCTGAAAATTATTTTAGAATGTAATTAAAAAAAAAATGTTAGAAAAATGAATAATTGCTTTTTTTTATTCATTTTTTTTTTTAAATATGTTAAAAATTAAAATATAATTATATATTTTTTTTATAAAAAATTCTATAAATTAAAAAAAAATCATAATCCATTTTTCTTTTTTGTTTATTATATTTATGTTTTTTAAAATAATTAATGTATCATATAATTAGCATAAGGCTTTTATATTATAAAAATAAAATAAAAATAGATTGTCTTTCAAAAATCCATTGCTCTTTACTTTAATCGTTTTTGATTAATAGTGATGTGGGTGTAATCAAATACATGTTATGTTCCAGAGTTACTGTTTTAAGCTTTTTTATAACGATTTCATTCTCTTATTGAATTTAATGAATATAATTTTTCTTTTATAGTGCATGTTATACATAATCGGTATAACAAGTTGAAGTTTTATATAAATGTATTTATTATATAAGTGAATCAATTTAGTTCCCATAAATATAAATAGTTACATTGATTTTTATTAATTACTACTTCAAATTTAGTTATCAAATAATCATAAAGAATTTATTAAGCATTAGAGGCTGAAATATATAACTAGTATTATTCTAAGGTTTTGCTTTAATTTTTTACTTCACAAAATTTTTGATTTTTAAGTATTTCAATAGTATTAAAACTATCTAAATCAAATTTAGAATAAATAGTTTCTAAAAATATATTTCTATTTCTTTTTAATTAAGTATTTTATTTTAAATATTAAAAAAATAATATGAACAAGAATTTTGCTGATTTCTTTTAAAATTCTAAAAAATATACGGTTCAATTTTACAAATTTTATAGATCTTTTAGTGAAATAAACAGAAAAAACATAATTTATTTTCTTATTATGTTCTATATTATAATTTATATCTATGCAAGTTTTTCTTAAGACATAAAATATTAATCAGAAATAAAATTTAAAATACTTTATTTAAGTTAGATTTTCAATTTTACTAAACTAATTTTTTGTAAACTAAAATCATACTAAAAACAAATATTTATTACTATTAATACTTTATACTAAAGTAAATAATAAGTAATAAATTTCAGATAAAAAATAATTAATTCTTTAAAAAATTCTGATTTTAAATAGTTTAAAAAGTTTAAATAAATAAAACAAATTTAAAAATAAAATTAAAATTTATATTGAATTTATATAAAATTTTAAAATTTTAATTTATAAGTATATATTAAAATTTAATTTAATTATAATTTACGTTTTTATTATATATATATTTGTATAATTCATATATTAAGTTAAAAGTTAAATTAAAAAGATTTATAAACAAAAATATATTCTAAATATTAAAAAATATAATGAAAAATATTAAATATTAATATTAATATTTTAATAAATGAAAATATGATATAATTATTAAATATATATATATATAAATATATATATATATATTATAATATATATATAAATATATATATTATGTTAATATAAAAATTTATACTTTAACGTTTTAATTTAAGATAACTAAATTATAATAATATAAAAACACTTTTTATTTAATTTTTATAAAAAGGCGAATATTATATAATTTTTAATAATACAAATTATAAAAATTTATATTTTATAAATTAAATATAAAAATATATATTTAAATATAAATATATATATATATATATATATATATATATATAAATATTAGTTTATACATAAGTTATTTAAATTTTTTTTTTCAAATTATTTAAATATATTTTAATCTATAAATAATTTAAATATAATTTATACATAAATAATACATTATTTTTTAATCAAAATAATTTTTAAATAACTTCTATAATAGTTTTATTATATTCATTAACGTTAGTTGATTTAGGTATAATTTTATTCATTAAATCTTTTGATTTTTACATTTTTTCTAAACTCTTTTCATCAATAATCCATTTTTGATAATCTTTGGGTGGGATATATCTTTAGTCAATTTTATTTATATCATATATTTATTAAAAATGAGTCTATACAATAAATATTTAAAATAATAAAAGTAATAATAAAATTTACTAGATTTTCTAACTCATCAATTCTTATTAAAACTGAAGTAAAAGTTAAATAAGTTATTTTTTTTTAGTTTAATTTTTCATTAAAAATATCACTAGGTTTCCTAAATTTCATTTCTTCTATAATTGAGGCCACAGAGTCTCCTTTATAAAGAGGAACTTGAAAAATTCCAGCCTAAATATTATTTTATTATCCTTCATATATAGGTATACAAGTCCATCCAACATTATCGAAAGTGGGATTATTTTATTTACTTAAATTTATACTTTTTACTTCTACCAAAAAAAATGATTTAGGTTCTAGGTTTTCTCTAAAAGTAAAGTGATTTGGTTTAAAATGTGGAGAATTTATACTTGAACTCCAATCAAAATCAGAAATGTATTTAGTGAAGTTATCAATTTTTTTATTTTAGTGAAAAGAGCCTCCAGGAAAAAGACTCACAAAGACAATATGTGGATATTTACTTTCTTGAACATTAAAAATGGCATCAATTTATACAACAACGCCTTTTATTTATTTTAATTAATTTTTTTTTATTTATGTTTTACTTTTTTTTAATTTTTCTTCTATTTCTTCTTTTTCTTTTTCTTTTTCTATTTCTTCTTTATCTTTTTCTATTTCTATTTCTTTTTTTTCTATTTCTTATCTAGACTTTTATCTTTAAGTTTAATTCCAAGAAACCGAACCTGGAGGTGTTTATTCCATAATCGGATCCTCAGTTTCTCTGACTAAAGTAAGCTAATTTTATTGATTTTCTCTTAATTTTTAATTTTTATCTGCTACATCTTTAGCTTCGTCTAATCTATGATATATTAATTCAACTAAATTCGGTTTTAAATTTTCTATTAAATCAACTGCATCTCTTACTTCTTATCCTAAAAGTTAATAAAGTGCAATTATAAGTTCTATAGAAAGCAATCTAACTTCATTTGAAGGATGAAATAGACATGGAGCTAATAAAAATTAAAAAACATCCAACCAATTCCATTGCCTTTCATCATAACCAGATTCTTATATTATATTAAGTACAATTTCTAATCTAGCCATCATGAGCCTATAAGGCTATTTATAAGGAGGAATATACAAAGACTAAAAGTTAGGATTTTCAATACAAATTTCTAAGCAAGCACTAATTAGTTATCCAATTTCAGCGACAGGATGTTTATAAATAGATAATAGAGTATGGAGAGAAATATCTCTAGAACGAAAATTCAATTCTGCTACTTTATTAATTAGCATTGGTGTAAATTCTTTCAATGCTTAATTTATAATTTTCGGAGATACATCACTTCCACAAACTGGAGGTGCTAGTGCAGTAGATAATATTTTTAAACCTTATTTTTTCAATTAATATATCCTTTGTTAATATATAAATTTTATTACCTATAAAATATATTTATAATATTTTATCTTCAGATGCCGTTTTCGCCATTTCCATACAAGCTAAAAATAAAAGTTTGGAATTACCATTTAAATATTTTTCAGGCAATGGCATTTCTATAAAATTTAAAACTGCTTATGCAGAAGCTTCTCTATGTCGCCAATTTTCTGAATATAATGCAGTCCAACATTAAGTACCAAATATTTGCAAATAGCCTAAATGAAATAACCTTCGAAGAATTTCTGAAGATATTTCTGGTAACTTTTCTTTTGTTTATACAAGCAAAGGCTTTAAATAAAGTTCTAAATCTATGTCTCCTTAATTAAACGCTATTGGATTGTTAAAATTTACTTCGATTTTTTATTCTTCTTTTTTTTTAATCTTTGGTTATTTTTTTTTTATTATTTAAGTTTCTTTATCTTTTTCCCACCAAGCTGGATCCTTATTTTTTATATTTTTTAAATTTTAAATAAAATAATACACTCAGTAGTTTTTCTTCAGGTTATTACTATTATATCAAATCAGGTTATTACTATTATATTAATTCAGGTTACTACTATTCTTATACTTGTTCAGGTTAATTTTGCATTTACTACATTCTCATTAATTCATTTAATAATCTAATTCTTTCAGCTTCTTCCATTTCTCTTAATTTTCTTCTTTCATAAGCTTATCTTTATTCGTCATCTTCTAAAACTTAAAGCCTCTTTTTTTAATTATTTATATAACTATTATATTTATTAAATATAATAATTAAAAAAACCTTTAAATAATCAGCTGAACTCGGTCTATCTAAAACAATCATATTCTCCTGTGTTTTTTTTAAAAAAAATATTAATATAAAATAAAACAGTTAGAATCTACATATCTAGATGTTTCGTACAAAGCATCATAACTATCTCTTGATTCTTATAATTTTTTAAGTTTTTTTTTTAATTCAATTACTCTTAAATAATCTTCTTTAGCAATAAAAAATTTAATTTCCCTTTAAATGTTCCAAATATTCTTTCCAATATCAAAAACAATTTTAATATCTTTTCCTAATACTTTTAATCCTTCGAAATCTTCCTCAATAATGGCTTAATCTTTAATTTTTACCATATCTCTTAAGGTAACTCTTGTTTCTTAATCAATAGGGGCATGATCATATACTCTTGCATCTTAATCAAACCAACCTATCATATCAATAGGAATTCCCAAACCAATTAATAATTTATCAACATTATCTTTATTTGAATCCTCATAAATTTCATTATTATTTATTTTACTCAGATAGTTTGTGTATCTTCCATATATTTTTAATGTCTTTAAACATACTTATCCAAATGGATTCATTGCATTTCTTGAACTCGGCTTATTTATTTTAACTTTTAAATAATTTCCTATCCCTGTTAATTTTATTTATACTGGTGCATTCATTATGTTTTCTCCTTTACTTAAAAAAAATAACTTTTTTAAAAAATAATTTAATTACCCTGCAAATTTATATTCACAATCTGAAAAACTACCGCTCCAACCATCTCCTATATAAAACTCTATATGCGGAACACTTTTTTCTTATGAAGATTACAATAAAACATGATAAACATCAGATCTGTAATGAAAGCGAACAATTATCTCAATCGGATATTGTCCTGTTCGTGAACTTTCCCATGTCTTTTAGGTTTTGTTCTCTTATATTGATAATGTATCAGCTTTATTACCATTTTCTTCACTTGTATATGCCACTACATGAAATGGTATCCAAGATGGATCATTTGCTATTTTTTGTGTAATCATAATTTTGTTTTGTTAGAGGAATTATATTTATATATTTTATTTTATTTTTAAAAAATCTGCATACAAATAATAATTTATATTTGAAATAATTATAAATATTTTCATTGCTTATCAAAAAAAATATAAATTATATAATCTTTAATATTAAAATAAATTTGTTTATAAACATCAATATTTATAAAAATAAATAATGTCTATGATGATGATGATTTTTACTTTTAAAATTTTATTAAAAAATAATTATTATTAATATAATAAAAAATATTTAAATTGTAAATTTTAAATTTATAAAAATAATTAATGATAAAAAATTAAAATTAATCATTTAAAATGTGTTTAATTATATAATTTTGAAAAATACAAGAACAAAAAAAAAGTTAATTTTTTAATATTATAAACAATTATATCTAATATTATTAAAAAAAAAATTAAACTAAGCAAAAAATTAATAAAAAAAAAAAGAAAAATATTAGAATGACATCTATTCAAATAGACATACAAATAGATTCTATATATGACTTATAAATAGTGAAATTATTAACAACAACAAAATATTCTCATATATATATTGCATAAGATTATCGTAAGAATAAATTAATAATAAAAAAGTACAAAGAGATAGTCACAAATACTGAAAACGAAGTAGAAATATTAAGCGAATTAGGATAAAATCAAAACTTAGTATAAACTTATTATTTTGACGGCTTACATTTAGTTCTTTAATATTACTAAAATGGAGATTTATTTGAATATATTTCTAAATAGCCTTTTGAAGAACCCTTATCAAGATATTATTTTATATAGATGTTACATATTCTATCTTTTTTATAATAACACTAATGCGCACATCGTGATTTAAAGCCCGAAAACATGCTTTTAGATGATAACTTCAATATTAAATTGTGTGACTTTTAATTTGCATGTAAAGTTAACAAATTTAGATAGCAAAATTTGGGTACCCTTATGTATATGGCTCCTGAAATAATAGAAAATAAAGCCTATAATCCTTTTTAAATTGACATATTTGCTTTAGGAGTTGTCCTATTCTCTATGGTAAGTGGATTTCCACCATTTTATTAAGCAGCTAGTATAAAAGATCCTTATTATAGTTTTTTTATTCACGAAAAAATAGAGTAATATTGGAATAATATTACCAAAAAATATAAAGCTGTTTATAGTGATGAATTTATTGATTTAATTAATTTGTTGCTTGCTTATAATCCCAATAAAAGATTAGCATTAAAAGAAATATTTAATCATAAATGGGTACTAAATATATGCAAATAACCTAATTTAAACAATGAAGATGTCATAAAAAAAATGAAATAAATAATTAATTAACAAAGCTGATTATGTCAAATTTATAAATTTGTTTTTATTATATAAATATATTAAATTGCAAAATTGCATATTTTAATTTATATAATTATTTTTTAAAACGTAATTACTATTTTTAATTTTTTAATAATATTTTTAAATATTTGATTATATTAATAAATATTTTTTAAATTTCATTTTATTTTTACTTATTCTTATTTAAAAAAAATAATTGATTAATTTTTTTAAAAATTTACAAATTATTAATATATTTAAATTATAATTTTTATTAATAATTTAAATTTTTATCTTATTAATATTTAAATTTTTTATCTGATATTAAATTTTATAAATAAATAATGTAAAATTAGAATGAAATTACTTTAATTTTCATATGTTAGTTTCACTTTACTATAAAGATAAAACACCATTTCCTAAATTAATAAATTATTCTAATTCTGAATAAACATAATTAACATTATAGAATTGATCAGGAATAAAATCTTAAGTTAATTTCCTAATAAAATAAAATAAAATAAAATAAAATAAAATAAAATAAATATATATATATAATTATTATATTTCTTTTAAAGATATTTACTCGATATAAAATCTCTTAGATTCTTCATCTAAAAGTCTATATGATATCCAAATTACTAAATTTTATTAAAATAATTTATTTTCTTAAAATTTAATTTAATTAAATACTTTTTTCTTTTTTATTTTTTATTTCATTTGTATTTCCTTTCATATCTATATCTGAAAGCATTGTGTCTATTGAAGAAATAATTTCTTTAAATTCTTATTTGTAGATATTTGCATATTTTAATCTATTTTAAATTTCTTAAAATTTTTTGCTTTTATGTTAAATTAATTCTTAAATATTTTTCACATAATCCTAAATTAAAATTTTGATTTATTAATAAATATACTTTGAAATAATAAATTACATTCGGTAGATAATTTTATGAAAAACTAATTTGTTTTTCGTAAGTAAATAATTTATTTTCCAAAGCAATTTAAGCAAATCTTTCTAATGTTAAAGCTTTTTCACCTATTTTATTATATTTTTTTATAAAATTTAAAATATTATTACCTTATTTAGAATAAGCATTTGCCTATTAAAAAATAATTAATTAACTTTATTTATATTAAATTTATCACTTTCTAAATATCTAAAAAGTGTAACAAATTCGTTTAATTCTATATATTTATTTTTGTCTAAATCTGCGGCTTAAAATATATTATCTACGTCTAATTCTACTGATCTTTTTAGTTTTTTATATAAAGGCAATATATCATAATAAATTTGGTCAATTTCAATTAAATCTTAAAAAATAAGTAAATATTTATTTTATTTTTATGATAAAACCTTAAGAATAATGATTTAAATTATATTTCTATTCAATTTTATATAAGAACTAATTAACCTCTTTTTCGTTAGAAAAGTATTATTATAAAAATTCAACAATTTTTTACTTTTATTAAAAATAATAATAATTTCAAAACAATTAAAAATTACATATTTGCAATAAAATTTTTCGTTCATAGTTGTAGTGTATAAAAGTCCTTTTGTTTATCTATCATCAACAAATTTAAGAATTCCAAAATAAAAATCACATTCTTCGATATTAATACTATTGCTTTCTTCGAAAAGTTAACTAAATTTAGCAAAAAGAAGAATTCTTTTATTATTTAAATAAAAATAAGTAGATTCTAAAAGTTAGATTAATTTATTTTCAGCTACTCTTTTTAGTCCATATTTTTATAAGAGATATTCATAAGCAGCAACATAAATAGATTAATTGTTACTTTGATAATTTTTTATATATTCGCTTTCTATTGTACAAATAAACTTTATCAAACTTTACTTTGAAACATATTATTTTACATAATTTTTTTCTTTTTTTTCTACTATTCCTTATATTATTTTCTATAAAAAAATTTCTTAATTTGTATTATAGTTTTTATCCTGTTTCTTTCTTTAGTCTCCAAATATAAAATTAGATACAACTGTATTTTATTTTGAGCGAATTTCTTAATTGTTTGTAATATCTATATTTTAATTATAATTTATTTATTATAGTGGTTATTCAATTTTATATGTTTATTTTAATTATTAATTTTAATTTGACTTTGTTTTTTATGTGTTTTGTTCAGATTAAAAACATAAACTGTTTTATCTTTCAAATTATTTTTCATCTATTTCTATTTTGTTTTTTCTTTGGTTTTATGGCGTTAAAGTATTCCTACTATTTTTTTTTTTAAATACTTTTATAAAAAAGTTAATATTTAATTATTTTTTTACTTGCTCCTTTCAGCTAATTACTATTACTAAGAATTTTATAAATTTACTTTCAAACTTTAATTGTCTAAAATTATTTAGTCCTATTTTTACTTTAACTCTTAATTTTCATTTATTAATTTTTAATTTTCATTTGTTATTTCTTAAATTTGATTTTATATTTTATCATTTTTTTCTAATAAATGGATATTTAATCTTTATTATTCTTAAACATTATTTAAATATTATTGCATCTTTATAATCAAATTAAATAAAAAAAAATTATAAAAAAAATATACTTAATTAGAACTATTGCATATTTATTATTTATATTAAAGTTTTATTTTTTATATTTCATCTTATTAGTCTTATTTTTATTTTTAAATTTCTTCAGTTAACTAAGATATAGATTTTTATTATTAGTCAATTTAATTTTTAAAAATTTAGATCCTCTTTACATAATGTTTTCTAGCTGAAAGGAAATAGTTAATAAATTTTTAAAGGTTTTTATCATTCTCATTATCATTTATCTAATCTAAAAGTTAAGAAAAAACTAGTTCATCATTATCATTATGTTCAATATCAGCGAATTCTTTTACTTCTTAGAAAAATTCAGATATAAATTACATTTCTTCATTTTTTTGGTAATTTAAAACATCAAAGATTATTCTTGTATTTGCTTTTCTTATAAATATTACTAAGATATTAGGTCTATTTAATTATTTTTTAATGATTGGATGGATTTTTCGTTTTTTAATGAATTTTTTTCCCCAAATTTTGCTATGTTATTTATTGAAGAAATTGAATTGTTATTTATATTATCTTCTGATATTTATATATAATTTTCTTCTTGTTTTTCGTCTTCATAATCTTAATCACATGGCATTTTCTATTGGTCTTTTAAATAAATGTTTAGTCTTTTTTCTAGTTCTTCAATTTTTCTTTCATATATTTTTATTGTTTATGCCTTTTCTTCTATTATATTTTCCTTTTCTTTTATTTCTTTTTTTAGTTCTTTATATTATTCTTACTCTTAAAGAATATATTCTTGACTTTAAATTAAAACGTCTTTAAATTCTTCAAATATTTCGTTTTCTTCTTCTTAGTTTTATTATTCATCATGAATATTGCATTTTATTCTTTTTTTTGTGCTTTTTGATTATTCTATAATTCTTAATTTTTATTTTGTTTTATTCTATTTTAATTTTTATCATTATCAAATTCCTCATCATATATAAAATCAAAAATAAAGGAACATTAAACACTTTTATTAAAAAACTCAATAATATTTTGTTAGGAAGAAGAAATAGAATCATTAATATTTTTTTTTCTAAATTTTCGTCTTAATATTCA